TTAATATACAGTAGTTTTAGTATATAATCTATTATACAAAATACTAATCTTATAGCTACTTTTAGTTTGATATAGTATATATTGTGCTATTGCTACTGTAATTTGTATTTTAAGCTATCTTTTGTAATACTATTATAATTTAGTTTATAACTTTTTTTTTATATAGTTTTAGTTATACGTTATAGCAAATTATATCTATTAACCTAATCCGTGTAATATCTAATTAATAGTAGATCATATATAATTTAAGACAAACAGTAACACAAAGACCGATAACTATAAACTTTAATAAGCACATAGTTTACACTTGAAAGAACCTATATATAAAATAATCAGTGGATTAGCGAAATAATCAGTTCACTTACTTATGGCAAATGGTCTTTAAACTGTGTTTATTCTGAAATGTAGAAGTTCAACTAACGACGCGAACAGCTATAATATTCAATTCATAAAACTTACTATCGCAATATCTCGTTTAGGTTTACTTTATTTGCGTTAATCTAGTCAGCAGCTTAATCCTAAGCACCAAATTAATAGGTCGGCTATCGGACCGGACCGAATCAAACTTTGGGGTATGTTTGGGTTCGGTTTGATTTTCAAACCAAACCCGAACCAAACTTTTTTTTGAAACTCAGTTTGGTTCGGTTCGGTACCAACTTTTAGAGTTAGTTTGAGTTCGGTCTGGGTTCAGTCCGAAAGTTTGCAAACATGTTCGGGTTCGGTGCTGTCCAATAGAATTATTTAGATATAATGGTAAATAAGTATTTATGGGTGAAAATTATGATGAAATATTAACATTAGTTTGGAACCAGTTCTATAATGATCCAATTTTTATCGATATAAAAATCAATATTATTTATAATGATCTATCTATAAGCGGTTTCATAAGCATTTCATAAAAAAAAAAAAAAAAAAACAATCAGCCGATCAAATACAGTCGCTCAACTTTTTATTTTTCGATTTATTTATATTTTTGCTTGTTTAAAATTGTTTTTTTAATTTTAATTTCTTATTTTTTTTTTTTTAAGCGTAATTCTAATTACTATCCTAACGGCTAAATAATTCGAATTGGGCGTAAAGGTAAATAAATACTTATGTTTTTGGTTTGTAAACTTATTTCGATGTTCTTAATCCCTTCCATAAACTACTTATCGAGTAAATTAACGTAAATGCTAAAATGACCTTTGCTAGTAAAAATGACCTTCCGAGATCATGTGAATTTTATGAATAAATTTAAATTTGTTAGCTGTTCAAGATCCAATTTGAATAAGTTCTTTTTGTTTATTTTATAAAGTCTAGTGAACTCTCCAAAATAAAAAAGTTTGTTCAAATTGGACAATTGGGTGACTAACAAATTTAAATCTCATTCATAAAATCTCATGGTCCCGATATGATCGTACCATAAGATATGATGACCGGTTAACCACTAGGTTACCCGGATAATCAGATTATAAAATTGGTTAACGGATTAATATTTAAAATATCCGGACAACTAAAAATAATATAATACATATATGAATGACACCAAGGAATAATGGGACTTCAATAATTGAAGTCCCATTTTCACTTGGCGTCATTCATATGATATTTATATCAGAATGAAACAAGATAAAGCAGATGAGAATAATTTTCGAGTAGAAAAAAAATGCGACTAATTGCATTTACTTAATATGCTAAATAACCCAGGTTGGGATATAACCCAGTGGGGATATAACTCAGGTATGACTGTAATTCCGGTAGCCGACATCATACGTTAGAGTTTCGCTTGACGTGGTGCCAACTAAATGAGCTGTTGGTGAAATAATTGTCAGTGAAATAAAAGGGAATTGCTAGTTACATTAATTACATTACGATTGCGATTGAATTCTCCTTATAAGGTCTGAGCAAATGTCCCAATTAGATTCTACTGTATAAAAAATTATATGTACTCATAATGTAGCCATATAAAATAAGGTTCTACTTTAAAATCCCGAAAGACAGATTCCCGAAAAAGACATAATATCGACAAAGTTGGCCAGCATTAGTTATAATGCTGGCCAATTTAGTCAGTATTATTTCCTTTCGGGAAAATGGCTTTCGGGATTTCAGGGTAGAACCCAAAATAATGTAAAGGCAAAAATGCTCTGTAGAAGTTTATATCTAGTTTTTATAATTTAAAAATAAATTGAAAATCCATGTGATCGTTATAAAAAATTACACAGCGCGTTTTTTAGAGGTTATATCCGGATATAACCATTACCCTCTTACTTTGATAGGTATAAAAACCGGTTATTAGATTATATTAAAGCTATAACCTTTCGGGTAAAAGTTAAACTATGTCCCGGAAGTCATTTTTTGGCAAAAATCCCAAATGAAATGAATGCTGTAAGTATTGTATTTATGTGAACTTGCTTTGCTGTCCTTAACTCCTTCCACTAATAAATATGTTCTTGTTTTATAAACTTGGTTTGCTCTTTTTAATTCGTCGATAAACGTTCTTTCTACTTACCGGCTAAATCAAGTGAATGAAATGATTTAGACATAAAGGTAAATAATTACTACTTATGTTTTTGTTTTGTGAACTTGTTTTGCTGTTCTTAATTCCTTTCTTTTAATAAATATCCTTTCTACTTATCGGCTAAATTAATGCTTAATTTCTTCATTGATAAATATTCTTATGATTTGGACATAAAGGCAAATAAGTATTTATGTTCTTGTTTTGCTGCTCTTAATTCCTTCCATTATATGGCGTTCTTTCTAATTATTGGCTAATGAAATGATTTTGATGTAAAGATAAATAATTACTTACGTTTTTGTTTTGTGAATTTGTTTAACTCCTTTTATTAATAAATATTTTTTCTACTTATCAGTGGATAAAATGATTTTGATGTAAAGGTAAATACTGTAAGTACTTATTCTTGTTTTGTGAACTTGTTTTGCGAATTTGTTTTGCTATTCGTACCAGCTAAATTAATTCGAATAAATGATTTGGACGTAAAGATATGAGAAATGCATACACTATCACTATATTTACAGATTATATGAGTGCCGGCAAAGGAAACCTTGACCCGACAATTATTTCTGAATAATAAACTGTAATTACTGGTTTCTCTTGCCGGAAATCATAACTTATACGGAGGATGGTCGGCCATGAAAATCCTTTTAAAATTTAGAGGTTTTTTAAAACTTTAAGCCAATACTTCTCGATGAATACTTAACTAATTTCAGCGAATTTTTTTTATTTTTTATTGAATTTAGTTAGATAGTCGTTGAGAAAACTTCGCTTAAAGTTTGAAAAAAAGGTTAAAAATCCGAAAATCTAAGCCGCAGTAAAATTTCTTTTTTTCAACCTTTAAGCGAAGATTTCTTAACGATTATCTAACCAAATTTGATGGAAATTTTTTTATTTTAATTCTACGTGTTTGTAGAATCGAAATAAAAATATATTTATCGAATTTAGTTATGTGGTCACTGAGAAATATTTATTTAATTAAAGTTTAAAAAAAAAATTGCCGCAGCTTCTTTTTTTATAGGCACCAAAACTTTAAGCAAAGTTTTCTTGATGAATATCTACCCAAATTTTATGAAATTTTTTTTATTTTAATTGTATAGGATTACAAAATTAAAATAAAAAAAATTCATAGAATTTGGATAGATATTCATCGAGAAAACTTCGCTTAAGTTTTAGTAAGCAAAGTTTTTTTTTAAAGTTTAAATAAATATTTCTCAGTAGTTACATAACCAAATTCGATAATTTTTTTATTTCGATTCTACAAACATGCAGAATTAAAATAAAAAAAGTTTCGTCATGTTTTCACTGAGAAATCTTAGTTTAAAGTTAAAAAGAAATTTATTGTCTTCTTTTTCTTGGATTCAAAAATTTTTTTAAGCTTTAAACTGAAATTTCTCGATGAAGACATGATCAAATTTGATGAATTTTTTTTTTATTTTAATTCTATGTATTTGTAGAATCGAAGTAAAAAAATTATCAAATTTGGCTATGTAGTTACTGAGAAATATTTATTTAATGTTTAAAAAAAATTTGCCGTGGCTTTTTTTTTTATGGATACTAAAATTTTAAGCAAATATTTTTCGATGAATACCTAACCAAATTCTATGAAAATTTTTTTCTTTTAATTTTGCAATCCCATATAATAAAAGTAAAGAAATTTGGTTTGATATTCATCAAGAAAATTTTGCTTAAAGTTTTAGTACCAATAAAAAAGAAGCTGCGGCAAATTTTTTTTTTAAACAATAAATAAATATTTCTCAGCAACTACATAACTAAGTTTGATAGTTTTTTTTTTTTTTTTTTTTTGATTCTACAGATATGCTGAATTAAAATTAAAAAATTTCATCAAAATTTGGTTAGATAATCGTTGAAAAATCTTCGCTTAAAGTTGCAAAAAAAAAAATTTTACTACGGCTCTCAGATTTTACTTTTTTTTCGAACTTTAAGCGACGTTTTTTCAACGACTATCTAACTAAATTTGATAAATTTTCTTTTATTTTAATTCTGTTAACTTAAAGAATTAAAATAAAAAAAAATTCACTGAAATTAGTTAAGTATTAATCGAGAAACATTGGTTTAAAGTTTTAAAAACCTCTACATTTAAAAGAATTCTCCTGGTCGATCATGTATTTCGACCCGGAATTTTGGGATCTTCTTGTGAACTATAGCCAAGGCAAGCAACTAACCAATTAAATACAATTATCTGGCAAACTTATATGATCATGAAAAAGTTTCTTTTATGATGTAATTATGTTTATTCCAGTAAAACTCGGCGAATGTTTCTGTATTTTACCGAAAAAATATTACGCAATATCACATAAATGATTGGATTAATTTTTGAGATACGTATTTGTCCTTAATTTTTAATAATCGCCAAATCTGGTTGAACTATGCGGATTGATGATCGTTATTTATTCATTAAGAGTAAGTTTATTTATCTTGGTTCCAAATTTCACCCATACAAAAATATATTTGAAGGTTACATTTAAAAAGCAAGTTAAAAATATGATTAAGGAGATGGGAATGTAGGATAGTCATCAATATTTGGGCTAAATGATAAACCAGGTGGATTGACCGGTGCCTTCTGCATGTTTCTTCGAATAGACTGACCAATTTCTTCCAATTTCATGGCATTTCTTACTATATTTTGGCGAATTAACCATAAGCTATGCACGAACTCGAGGACAAATACTTCATCATTTAACGCTTTATAGGGAATCAACAAATCAAAGACTTTACGAACCCGAAACAAAGGGAAACCAAGCTGATCCATAATGCACACTTTTAGCCGAGTTTCTACAGGATATTATAGTAACATATATGAGTATTATATTATACAGGTATTAGTAATAATAATCCCGTGATCTTAATATAGTAATCGAGGGATTATATATTACATAAAATATAAATGTCTAAGAGCTTTTACCATACGCTTGAAATAAAACTACTTCAACTCCACGAATTTGTTGCAGTAATTTTTCTCCATCTTGGAGATATTCAAGATTGCCAGAAATTAATTGAGTATCCATTTTAAATTTGGAATCTCGTCCTAGCCGAAACAATTTGAAATTGTCTGATTTTATCTTATCCTGATCGGGTGCAAACGGACTTCCGGAGGCCTCCTCGTAGACAGTCTCTTGAATCGTTCGATTAATATCTTGCAATAACCAAAAATCAGGTTTTCTTGGGTAAGATTCCTTACGGAAACTCGAAACTAATGAACAAGCTTCGCCCCTAACAATAAATAAAAAAGATTTAACTTAGAACTTTGATCTAATCAAAATATACGGTATATACTGTATGCTTACCAGTTCCAGAAACATCCGTCAATTTTTTTTGTGATTTCTTTAAATATGGGATCCAAAACCTGGTGGTGCCAAGTGCCTTCTAGACAATAGTCCTCGTTTAATGTTATTTCCCACATCTCGAAACTAATATAAATATATAATAAACAATAAGGATCTTAAACCCTATATCGATTTCAAATACTGTATATACTTACAGCTTACGGCACACATTTCTGATAAATTTATAAAATATGTACTGCCTATCTTCATTTTCCATTTTACCGAAGTTATCTTCGTCCCAATTTTTACGATCATTAAAAAATTTTGAAAAGATTTTTTTAAATTCAACTGGAGTATCACTGTAATAATCGTCAGGAGCACGAAATATACGAGAATAAACCGATGGTGAAAGTATATTGCATAATTCTCTTCGTGGCTCGGTGAGGTCAATTATAAAAGATAGAACCGGGTGGTCATAATTCATTTTTCTTATTTCATCCCAGCTGATCGTTTTTACAAATGCTTGCCCTACATCTACTATTGTACCATCTACATCCCGTACTATCCATTGACTCGGAACATTCTGAAAAGAATAATATAAATGCTCTGTGAGTTATAACTTAATTTGCACAAATAATAATTAACCTGTGTGAAGTGTAATAGATAGACCATACTTGAAGACTTTGATACTTATAAAATACTTCCATCTTTTTCCTATCTCCGTTGATACGATTATCTAGCAGGATTTTCTTTCTTTTCAGTGATCTGTTATAGATCTTCTCGCACCATCTTACCAATGCTCGAGGACTTGTTTGGTATAATTTGAAAATTTTATCAGATTGACATTTTTCCTCCATCTAAAAATCGTATTGCATAGTAGCTTTATTAGTATATATTATAATAAATATACTAATTAATTTTGAACATTTCATTAATCATAAATTTAGCAGAATTAAATAGAGCGAGTGATGAGCTAAAGACAAGTCTTTTACTTAGTACGTATAAAGAGTGTAATTAGCTATGAATAAACGGCTTAGGTGTCCAATATATCAGATACCGACAAGCTATCACAGTTTATCTCACATCGCAAAAAAAAAAAAACTACTGTAAGTGATAGGCCAAAACAAGCCACTTATTAAATAAATCTTCGATCCTAGATAACAAGTGTGTAGTGACCATAGATGAACTGCTTAAGAGCCAATATTATACAGACAAGAAACTAACAGATCATTTCACGTACAGACAACCCTACCGCTGCTATATAATCATTGATAATAATTGTATATAACAATAATTGATATCTCAAAATTACCTCATTGCGGTTTTCAATTTCTTGTAACGTCCATTTTTCCTTCTTTGAGAGATCCTTTATAGTGTTTAAAAAGATACTTGTTTCAGATCGTTTATCCTTGATGGGCAATTCAACTTCATTTAAGATTCTCCAAGCAAAATAGTCACAGCTAGTTGCAAGACGTGCATTATATATACTAAAGAATTGATCCAAACTTTCATTTCTTGTTTTACTAGAGGGCTGTTTAAACTTTAAAGAGTTTGATGAATTTATTGGAATAGTTCGGTTACGAAGATTATGGTTTTTTGTATTGGTAATATTAGTTAATGGTTTAACGCGTGTCATCTTTTTAGGAAATAAAATGTTTCATACGCGTCTCAATAAATAGCAAAGCCCGGGTAGGACCGGGTAGTAATGTGTTTAGGATTTTTCAGTCATACACTTAATCATACACTACAGTACCCCCTGCTATAATACCCCAGGGTACTGTAGTCAGTACTACTGGTCATATGATATTGAACCTAGGTGCCGCACAAAAAATGCGCGGCAGATCCTCGATTTTGATTGGCTAAAAAAAATTAAGCCGGAAT